AAATAAAAATATTGCTTTCATGCAACTTCATGTAAATGCAGCTTAAAGGCAGAATTGGTTTCTGTTAATTTTTTAGAAACTTTGAAAAGCTATTTTCCTTTTATTCCATTTCTTTCTCAGAGTTATTCTTTTACTTTAATTTTTAAACTTGTCAAAAATTGATAACGAAATACTACTTTGGGACAACTCGGGTTTACACACATGAATAATTTCAAGTTGCATTAGTACCGATAGTTTCTTTTTTTTTATAAATAAATTGTTATCAATTTAGCTTCTTCATGTTCCAATGGTCAGATAACATAATTTGCATTTAATATCTACAGTAGACAAATCAATTCATTTAAGAATTATTAGTGTTAAGCAAGATCTATGATATAGTTAAAACAAATGCTGATGAATCTAACCTTTACCTGAACCACGTGTAGATGTACATGTATGTTTACACAGTTTTAAGATGAAGATTAAAGTGCCTAGTCACTGAGTAAATAACAGCGACTGCATGGAACAGGATATGAAATGCAAAGAAAGAATACTTCCGGTCGTCTGGAGTGGTATGGTTATTAAAATGTGTGCCTAGCAATGCATCAACAGCATGTAGAACATACTCAACATTTTGGTCTTTGAGCTACTTTCTACACTCTATGCAGCAAATAAATGAATTAATTAATCAATCCAAAAGACTGGCACTGGGTTTCTTCAGAAGAAAACAAATGATCTGGCAATTGGCAACATATATTTAGCTCATTGATTGAGAGAAATTACGTTGAAGTTGAAAAAAATTGATCCATTTAATTTCATTTCATTTCATATTGCCACAACTTAGAACACTATTTTGCGAAACATGTACATTTGAAATAGTAACAGCTGGATTTAAGGGACACTTCATGGATAAAAAGGCATCAATTTCATGATAAAATTTCTCCCCTCCCCCCCCCCCCCCCCCCCCCCCCCCCCCCTCTTACAAAATCAATGATCTATTCCTATGAAGGCAACACCTTTAATTTCAAGTATGTAAAAAACATTCATCAAACAGTACAACCCTGAATCCGTTTTTCCACTCTCACTCTGCCCCCCCCCCCCCCCCTCTCTCTCTCTCTCTCTCTCTCTCATCTTTTTTCTGGATAGACTACCGGTACACCAGTTTCCAGCTGGTAGAAGAGACATCAATTTATGTAGAGGTAGGCAGGATGGCTAGAAATTGTACCAGTGCATAGTGATAAATCTAAATTTAGCTCATAGGCCCAATGCACTGAACATCGCTTTGATATGTCATCTGGAAATGAAATGCAGGCAAAGCAGTGCATCACTTTTCTGAGGGAATGTCTGCGCATAATTTACGCACCCAACTCTCCAGTAAACTCCTTCAATGGTTTAAATACTTCAATTCAGTCCATGTTTCAATGTTATTGCTCATAAAATGGAATTAATTTTGTCCAATGCATGATAAAAGAGAAAAAACAAACAATATCTATTAAAACAAAGATCTCTACAGGTTCTTACATGGGCATGTATGACTACATGTATTGCATGTAAACAATAGATCAAGATCACAGCATTTTCATATTCCATTTAGAAAGGAGATGTATGTATGGTACATGTACAGTATACAGCACTCAATATAAAATAGATCTCATTCCATGCAATGTCAGAGGCCCATGTGTATATTTCATCTACTCTACATTGGCAACATACCTGCCAACATTTCACAGCCAAAATTAGGAATCTCTCAAGGCAAAATTATGAATACATACATCCTCTTTACAAGAATATTTCAGAAAAAGAGAGGATTCCAGGCCTCCAGGGTTAAAAAAAAATAGCTTGAAGACCAAAGAATAGGAATGGTTGGCAGCTACATGTACATGTATGTGGCAATAAACCCTTCCAAATGTGTCGTAAGCTAGGTCTGACTGACCGGTCCCTTTAAGTTCCCATTACATTTGGAATTGGAAGAGACAACTGGTGGACAGATGCCTCCGAGAATGACAGTAACATGACTCAAATTACCTCATGCTCTTCCTAGTGCCAAGACAGAGAGAGAAAGAGGCCTACATCATGCACACTTCTCAAGTATGTATCGAGTCACATGACTTGCTGTTGCTAGGTAACGCAGTAATAAGAAACAACTTCGCATATCTAAACCATGATACATTAACAGCATGAGCTGTAGCCATCTTTAAAGGTACGGTTTGTTCTACCGGTATTGGGTTTTTGAAGTGTTTGTGAATGTACAGTATTGGAGTTAAATAGTTCATTTTTGCAAAGACTTGATTGTGAGAGCATCCCTGATATGTTTTTGTTTTATTAATGATTGTTCGGTGAGAGAAGTACCAATGTTCACCTTTAAGAAGAATATAATGCACAGTAGTATTTTATTCATACCATGGATTGAATTATATCTAGACAAACATCAAAGATACATGTATCATGAGAACTAGAATAGTAATTTAAAAGGGAATTCTGTATACATGTACAGTACATATACAACTCTGGCCAACCATACAAGTTTGCCTCTTCTCGTCTTTTTGAGTGATTTTCCAGCCGCTTTTTTCACATGCTAAATGTTACCTTTAAGACTGTATGCATTGAAAACTTCTTGATGCAGTTTCTATTGGAAGGACATAAAAGAATGGCCACTTTCTATTGACCATTAACATGGAAAAAAACTGAAATGAGGAAATGTTTCATGATACTGCATCACAGCAACCACAATACCCTAATCTCAAGACCCCTTGATTCGATGCCAACATATTGTGCACTGTTCCTTAATTTTATCTGACCCCATTCTTGTTCCGATGCCAAAGTAATCAAGGATACAGATAATTAAGTATCCGTAAGGACGATTGTGTGGTAAGGATTTCATCCATTTCATCCATAACCGCACGTTTTCAAGCAAAGGTATTACTGCTGCACATATACGGTGTAAGCCTACATACTTGTAATATACGGTGTATTGTTGTACAGTACACTACTCATGTATTACTGTATGTTAAAGTCTCATAGCACTATATGTACTGTAGGCATGCTTTGCAATAATATATTTTTCATAAAAGAAGCTCTGAAATGCCATATATAGAGGCACTCTATTTTCTATCAACAAAACAGTTGTAGTTTGTAATCACTAATTTGCAAGTTTCATTCCTGTCTGTCTTGAAAATATATCGAATAATAATGTAAAATGCTGAAGTTGACATTTCAACAACTGAATTCTACTACTATCCAAACAACCGGTACAGAAAGAATCAGTATTCTGCAGGCTTTATGCACCTCACAACAACAAGAAGCCACAATGGAAATCTACAGCAGCAATCTTTAGAATTTAGACCACAATACTGAATTAATTACGCCACGATTGCTGAATAAAAAAATTCCCACACAATGCAGAATGTAGCAAGCTCTGGGAGACAAGCAATTTTTTTATTTGATATTTATTGGATTATAAAATCAATCTTTTTCCCAGAGGTCTGCAACATACAGGTTTAATATTGATTGTGCGTTTTCATTTGTCTTGGGACAGTGGGCTTAGGGAAGAAAAAATACCACATGAATTTTGGATGATGAAACTATCATATTTTTGTTATTTTGTTTCCATGTCACGTCAACCATAATCACAACATTTGTTGCTTGATGGCATTACCAGACCCTAAAGGTCACCGGCAAGTACACAAACATCCCCAAAACTTCAACACACTCTAGGCCTATCTTCACCAGCTTGAGTTGGCCAAATAGCCGGCTATAACGTGATCCATGAAATTAGCCTGAAGTTACAAATCGCGTCTTCATCAGCTCTAAAACTCGAGCTCGAGAAATTTGCTCAATGTTCGAGTCTTAAGGCTGGTGAAGTCAGGCCAGACAAATAGCAGACGATTTTACATTTACTAGCCCAAGATATCTTGGGCAGATTTCCTGAGTAAATAGCCCGCTATTTGCGTCTTCACCTGCCAAATAGCCCGTCATTTCGTGATCGGGCTAATTTCCTGAAACAGAAATAGCGGGTTATTTGGCCAACTCAAGCTGATGAAAACAGGCCTTCTGAGCTACATTGTTTTATAAACAGATTGATTTTTTTAGGAGGGAAGCCAACAACATCAATTACATTTCCAAACCAAAATAATTTCTGGCGGAAGACGGAAATATTTCTGCATATCCTTCTTCCCTCACAGTACAGGAAAAGTAACATACATGAGCCAAGAAAAATTTGGATTTGATTCAATGAAGAGTCAACAGAATGTAGTGAAAAAGTCAAACAATTTGGATTTCAAGCAGAAAATCCATGGATTATTTTGCTATTTGATTACCTCATACATACTGTACCTTAATTTTCAGTTGATTTGTTTGTAATAAATTATGACATTTAAAAAAAACAGACAAGTCTCTCCCATTTGCTACAAGTGTATGAAGGGTTTGCTTGTTGGAATAACAAATGGTGTGAAGACCCAATCCAGTCACTTCCTATTTACATCAATTATGGAGCACCAGGAGTGTCAAATGTGACAGACATGACATAAGCAATGTACATGTACTTGTACAAGAACCCACTATTATCATTATTATTATTATACTGAAAAACTAGAAACTCCTGTGAAACATTATCGTATGTTCTGGGCCGAAAGGGCTTAACTCTGTGATAAAGTACACTAGTTACTGCCCTTCTGGCTTCAAATAGAGGTTTTCATGATAAGAAACTTGTGAATTTTTAAATACCGAGTGTTGTGGCTAATGTATTTCAAGAACAAGACCTTAATCTCCAGCGCAAAATTTGCAGAACTCTGCCGCTTCAATCCAGGAAAATATATTGACCGTAATAGTAAAAAAATACTTTAAAAATATCAAAGGCTATTTTTCAAGCTTGCTTGCATAAAAATAACACTCTTTAATTTGTTTTGAATTGAACTCTACGCAAATTTTGGGGGGCTCTTTTATGACTTTCGGGGGTTGTTTTTAGCATTTCGGGGGCTAATTGGCCCCGAGCCCCCGTGTATTTTTGCACTGTTTTCACCTACCTTGTTCATGAGGATCACACAGATGTCTATCACTGCCAACGCGTTGTGAGGAGCGTTCTCGGACGCTCGACGGTAGGTGATGTACGCCCTCTGGTTGTTGACTCCTATTCGGTTGCTCACGTTGGCCGGGTGTCCGTTGGGGGTGTGGCTGACAATCTCGCACCCCGGCATCACCCTCTCCTTCCCCTCGTACAAGATCCTGGTTTGAATATGTGTAAAATAATTAGTATTAATGACTCTTTCATCAAAACATTTTAATACTGGTATGGGGCATAATATTCCTGTTGGAAATATAAAAATGCTTTTCACTCCCGAGAGCATCTTTTAGACGTACTAAATGAATTTAAGATCTCTTCACAACTGTTGTGTCTTTTTTGGAAGCGTTTTTGAGCTCTTTTAAATCCTTGGAGAGCTAATTGCACTGCTTTTGTGTAATTTTCTTTTTCACGGTGTATGGAGAGTTCAAACTATGTCAGAGCGTAACGCCCTTGCCTTGGTCAAAACATTAATCAATTAATCAATTATTTTGAAGATATTTAAAACTTGAAGTTACATGTATATCCCCTTGTTATTTACCTACACACATACAGGTATGCTTGCAATATTACAAGCTCCCCCCCCCCCCCCTCCTAAGAATAGTTAAAATATTGGTATAAGAGAAAATGTACAAACTAGGAGATAGGATTGTAGTTTTGGTTTTTCATTACTAGTTTCAAGTTTCAATAACATGCCTGCCCTACATATACTTCTGGATGGGTTAGAACTTCCAAAGTATCAGAAAATGATTTATAGTCCAAGTTCAGGAGTGACACATGAGATGAGAAAGTGATAGCGTACTTGAAACTCTCACAAGATCAGATGCCACCCATTAAAAACAAACTGTTGCTTTCCAACAGACTCTTCCAAATTTGAGAGAGCCAAACTATTCTCCAATATACTGGCTATTTTTTTTCTTTGTGAAAGTTAAGGATAAAGGTCCGTTGGTTATATGAAGTATTTGCATGTATATTTGATAGTCTTTCTCTTCATCACCTTTTACTCTGTTTGATGTACAAATTACTCTGTTTTATGGGCGCACTCTTGGGGATTTTTCTACAGGTTAAGTACATGTGTAAGTGGGAAAAAAGTTTGTTGCCAAAATATTATCAAGAGTTCCCTTAGATTTTTCAGAGCTTCAGTGTGTGTGTGTGGGGGGGGGGGGGGCGTAGTTCTTCCAGAGGTGAATGACTCTCTTTTAACAACACTGTAACCTTTGTGTCCACCGTGAATGTACCTGGGGGCATCCAACATCATGATGACAGATGATTGAACTACATTCAGGTTCATATACAACACCAACACATGAATAATGTTTTGTTCAACCTACCCTTCCCCCCCCCCCCCCATTTTTTCTCCCCTTGTTGTGGCTGACAGAATACAGGCAATAAAAGGAGCAAAACCTTTACTACAATGAATGCTTGGGTGACAATTATCGGTCCGCGGTCAATATCTTTACTGAATTCTAAACTTCAGCCCGAATTCCAAGCGTTATACTTAAACCTAACCCTAATACTAATCCTAGTCCAAAGCCCAGTTGCAAACCTTATCCTAACCCTATCATCTTTCATGAAATGAAGCCCTAAGTACATAACTATCAGCAGAGCCAATGTCAGGGGCAGTTTTCATGACACTGTGCAATTAATAGTACCTGTACATGTTTAAGCTCGCCGACATCCCGTTGTGGGAGTATCAAAATCAACTACACCTGTAGGTGTCAATGGGATGTCGGTGAATTTGTACTCCTGACACTTTTGTGAAACAATGGCCCAGTCACTGCCCGACCGGCTAGTTGTAGACTTACCCAATATCAGTGAGAGGGGGTTGTTCATAGCCCCTTCGGATGCAGATGAAGACTGAAGGGCTTGCTATGCTTCCATGGTTGAGATCGGCTGGTAGACCGCTGGGTGTGGTCTCCACACAGGTGAATCCAGGCGGTACCTGTGCAAAAAAATATCCATTTATATCAAATGGTTACGGTACATACCGTAAATCTCCGCGTATAAGGCACACTTTTTTTTTTTTTTAATAGATCTCAATATGTAGTTTATATAATAATTCCTCAATTTGTTTTTATATAACAAATGGTGTACCACAAGGTTCTATCCTAGGACCTAGGTACTCTATTGTTTTGAATTTACATTGATGATCTTACACATTCTTCTAAAAACGACATTGTTACTATTATTTGTCACAAGTTTACAAGCACAAATCAGTGCCTTTAACTGCACCTTGATGTTAAATGAAGGTCCTTCCCCGCGTGTGTTTTCGGCAACAAAACAACAACAACAAAAAAAAAAAAAAAATACTGTAGTTTTATCTACATTTATACAACTGCACTAGTGCATGATAACTTTAATAACAACTATATGATAGCTACATGTACGTGTAAGTTTCTATCCTCAGTTACATTTGTGAATCACATGCAATGTTCAGGGATGAAAGTGATGGGAAAGCTTCTAGAATGGAACAAAAAGTTCTTTATTATGAAACATTATAGAAGGGTATTGTACAAAACAAGGAATAACAAGAATTAGATACTGTAACCTGCAGTTGTATAACCATGTTTCACACTAAATTAGCAAATAATCTTGTACGACAAATACATGATTTACATGTTTGAATATTTTATATATTTGCAGAGTAGGGAAACAAAATAATTCTACCATACAATACATTTACATATAGTTCCTTCTGCACATCAAATTGAGTCATTGCAACAATTTGATGGAGTCTCTTATCTCTACTGCATGGTGTTGATTGAGTTCCACAGGTTCATGAACTATATACATTCACAAGTTCACTAACTCTTTATCTGATGATTCTGATACTGTCACTGATAGGAAGTACAGAATCAAGACATCGGAAGTGCCTTCACAAAAATGAAAATGATACCTTCATCTGCCTAATCCCCTACCCATCCTACATGTATGCCCTAACACATTAAATAAACACTGACTCATACTCATATGTGTGTACAATGTACAAATACATACATTGTACACATAGCCATACATGTACATGTATGAAGGTACTATGTACAGTACATACAGTACAAAGCAAATGCGGGTCATAATCATACACGTAAAAGGTAGAGTTCTACATGTAGCATTGATACCCCCAGAAAACAAAAGACGTAAATAAACAATTGAATAAATAAATAAATATTAATGAGTAAATACAAACTGTACATAAACAAATAATAAAAAACATTTTATAGCAAAGAGCTATGAAATAAGATATAATTGAATCAATAATATACCGGTAACTGAAAATAATAATTATCATAATATCTTATGAAATTTATGACTGACCCTGACAATAGTAGAAGGGGTACATTTGTAAAATAAATATCTAAAATGCACAGAAAGTGACTGACAAATCATGCTGGTAGTCTTTACAACTTAACAAACAGTCCCATATATTTATCTGTACGTTAGTGCATTGCTGAGTTTTTTAGCAGTACAGTAGTTTGTAGAACATGCATTGCATCTTATGTTTATAATGTACATTGTAGTGCTCACAAAAACAACTTGATCAATCGATTGAACTAGTTGGAATGATTTTTAACCAGTTTCTCTGCAACGGAATTCTGTTATCAGAAGAGATTACGTTGACAACAAACTGCTGAGAGCGTAAAAAGGGAAATAAATCTTTTTAAAACCATCTGTATGAGTTTACCGGTAGGTTCTTCTGAATCTCAACACCCCAAAAAATTCTCTCGCATGAATACTGTACTCACCTTCTCTCCTTGACTCTTGATGATAACAGTTATGTCTATGATAGGGGCCAGGTTCTTGGGCGGTTTTCGTGGTGCCTCCCCCAATAAATCGTCGTTCAGCGGCCGGGACGTCTCCGTCAAACCGGCCACCACAAAATAATCAGCGACCCTTCGGCCACTGCCGCCACCGTCCTCCATTTTGAATCGGACTGTTCTATGTCAGCATGACAAAAGAGGTGAAATGGATTTCTGGAAAGAAAAAAAAAGATAAATATTGTTCAGTAAATTAGATGGTAATGAATGATGACTGCAACAGAAAAACAATATAGTGACATATGTACATGTAAAAATTATAGATTATTTTCCATCACTTGTATCTAAAACTCATTGAAAGCAAAGAAATTGGAAGCCATATTCGCAAGGTACATGTAGTATTTCAATTCCAACATGTCCTTATAAAATTTACTCTAGTAAAAAGAGAGATAAATGTTTACATGGGTTCCAACAAAGCTACATGTACAATGTATGTAATTATGGACGGAATTAAAAAACACCTTCTCCTGAAAGACATGAATACAATCTCAAGTTGAAGAAAAGTCTCAAAAGACCTCAGTTGAAATAAGACATGACTACTGTATACAATATGTACATGTAATCAAATATGAGACACCACAAGATCCATTTCTATGAACAGCATTTTACAATGTCTGAGTAGGGATTAAAAGCCCTTAAAATGTAAAAAAAAAGATCTTTATAAATAGAATTTTACATCACATACAGTGTACATTTAGGACAGAAACTTGTTTTTGTCTGTCACAAAAGAGAAATCACTAGACTGCAATTCCTCCTTCATTGAACACTTGAAGAACTAGAGACAACCGTTTACTCATTTCCTCCTATAAATCACTTTAATCTGACTGAGCTGGATATATCTTAATCATATGTAGCAAAAAAGACTAATACATGTACATGTACATGTACATGGGAGAACAACACAAGAAGTAGAGACAAAATTTGTAAATATTTACAATTCATGTGTAGCAAATGAACTTTGATTGTCTTACCCATGGACTGAAGTTTCTTTGAGGAATGAAACACTAAACCGGTACTACAAAACTATGAGTGTTTGTTTTTCTTTTTCCTGTTTAACCATTCAACTACTGTAGTATTTTCGTGAAAGTAATTAAAGCCGATTTTCATTACTGTTTGATTAAATGTCTTGCAAAATCATTCACAGTTGGCAATTTAAAAGTTATAATGGGCAATTAAACAATTGGACTCAGCCATGGGTTTACAGGAGAAGGTGGGAAAATATTTGTTGCCAGATACACGTACACTGTAGCAAGGCTTCCAAAGGAGTCGTACATGTACCTGTTGTGCATCAATTAAAACTAAAGTATCAACAAGAACAACATGAACCAGTCCAGTTCTTTCTTCTTCTAGCTTCTGCTATATTGCAGCTTCTGTTTTTTATATTTAATAACAAAAAGGTCATCGCAAGATTAATCTCAATTGGTGCGCTAGCTCAGCCTCTCTCATCTTGCTCTTAATAATTCCTACAGTACGTACTTCCTCTTTTTCATATTCACTGTCCTTCAGCCATGCGGTCCACACCCACTCACCCCTTTTCTTTATAATCCTGTCCATGTAGTTCATAATTCTACCCTTGTGCTTCCACACTGCCTGTTCTCTTCAGTAGTCTCCATAGACAAGACTTGTTTTTAAAACTTTTTATTAGTGTTTATTTGTTAAAACATCATTTTTTGAGGGGTCCACACTCTACAAATTATGCTTTTTAATGGATCCCTCCATTTTCATTGACATATAAATATACAGCAACATTTTTACTTTTCTTCTTGATTTAGATTGTATGATATGATTATTATATAATTCCTTGCAACTAAATTATGAATTATATAAACGATGTCTTTTGTTATGCAAAGAAAAATAAGATGTACAGTTGTACATGTATAAATACTTTTGTATACTTTGTCAAATGTTGGTAATTTATGTAATTTTATTCATTGTACAGTGTGTACATAACTTGTGTTTTTCTTGTTCAAAATGGAAATGAACTTGTACTTGCCTTGGCAAATAATAACACTTTAATCCTGCTGTAATTTAGCGTCAATTGGAAATTTGATCCATCCAGGTGGAATAGTGAAGTAACAAGATACATGTACAGGTATGTCATAAAACAAACAATATGTGGGAGTGTAAATAGAAGATGCACCAATATATCTACATGTACGTGTATCTCATTACTTGAAGCGCACGTGCAATGCCAGCGCAGGACTATACTTCGGAAACAAAACTCGGCACCAAAGCCCAACCCCAGTACTACATGTATCATGCATGATATCCCTATTGCAAACCTGATAACGCATCATTGATAACGCTGCTGCCATTTTTATAGGTCACAGAAAGGTTTTGCAAGCATTGAGCTATTGATTGTGGCTGCATGGTGCAGACAGTTCAATTGGATAATGGCCTGGCTTCCAGGTTGCTTTTGAAACGCGGGTCTACAAAAGATGCACTTCACAAGGTCACAGTGCTTTGGTGTGTTGCTGCAAAACTATTAGTTGTTTTGGTACAAGCATGCAGGGTTATGTGCTTGTGGATAATATAAATGTATTGATTAGCATGTTCATTCACGAATGGATAAAGCCTGCAATTGAAATGTTCAAACATCTGGACTTGCATGTAAGAACATCCGTGCAATTTAAACATAATTCACACCAGATACCTTAACAAGCATTCAGAAGTATAAAACAGAGAGATGTTGACTCCATTAATGTCCTTTTGTTCTTACTATGCGGCAGACTACAGGTACTATATTTCAGCACTTTCCAGGCAAACATACTGTAGATACCGCTAAGTGTTACTTACGAACTGCATTTAAACAAATTGTTAGCTTTCACTGCAAGTAATACTGTAGTATCACACAACTAGCCTCTTTACAAATGCTATGAGCCCTGCCTGTGGTCATATTAAGCCAATACCTCTACTGAAGCAACCCCTTATCCAAGCAGACCCTGAATTAATTTTTTAATGACATGTACATGTACATTTGTATCATGTAAAAGATAATATTGTTGTTTCTCAATTCAAAACGGAACCTAGCGAGAGACAGAGAGAGAGAGAGAGAGAGGGGGGGTGGGGGGAGAAAGAGCACGCACAAATAGATCTTTCATACACATACCGGTATATTCACTTTAAAAAAAAAAAACTATTATTTTCTTTTCTTTCTTTCTATCAAAGGTTCAAAGGTACATGTACATACTGTACTCGTGTACATGTGTATTTAAATGTACATGTACTTCAACATCTATGTGTACATGTGCACTGGTACAAGCTACGAGTCATAATCTTCTCTAGAAATTCCCGTGAGTTACAGATCTAACTAATGATTCCAGCTGTATTGACTTTGAGATTCAGACATCAAATAATACACAAGACAGTTCAAGGATGTTGAAAGTTACACAGGTACAGACCAATGACAGTCAAGGAACGATCAAGGGTACATGTATGTGTGCATGACATCATGAAGGGCTTTGTTAGATAGGAAGGCAGTTCAGTAGATGAGCAAAAGTTCATGCAACAAAACATGAATCCCAGGCAGTTTGAAAAAAAGTCTCCGGAGCAGGGGACAAGTTACATGTATGTACATGTAGGTTATAAAAACTCCACAACAGCAAATTTGGAGAAAAAAAATATGTATCTGAGAATTCAAGAGAAGCTCCAGTACACTGTAGTTTCTATTCCGTGAAGGCTTACAAAACCTGATAATATACAGAATTACAGCTGACTAATACAGGAAAAGTCTTCTACCCCCTGATAAACATGATATTCCTGCAACACCTGTCTACAGTGTAGTTTAACCTAAGTTATCAAAATAAATAGCTTTTTTTTTTTTTTATACCACATGTTTACTTTGTCTCCTCCTCTTGCATTAAAGATGAAGTTGAGTTCTGGTCATGCGATTGCACTGTGAAAGAAACGGTGTGGAACCGACCAGAAAAGGTTGATCATCTAGCATATAAGAATTTGTGTGTATTGCAAGGTTCTGGAATCATCAAAATGATAAGAAATTTGGCCAAGTCTTGGTAAAGTTACAAACACTGTACACAGAAAGATGTATATGGGACTACACGAACACGTGGCGTAAAAAGCCGGCCCCCGATTTTTACGATGTTACATGCATATTTAGAATATGAAGGCATTTGAAGAGCCATGCTTTTCAGGGAACATGTCTTATCTGATGTACTTCCACACTTGCATAATAAGAATGAGTAACGCTCACAAATTATTTTTCACCTCTTCCCAGAACTCAACCTTCTCTTTAAATATTAAACATGCCAGGGCTCCCACTCACATGTAATGTAGCATGCTTCATCTGCTATTCAGCTACCTCGGCTACAGTGTAATTATCATACTGTTAGCTTTAAAAACTCAAATTATAGTGATCTGCAGAACATTCACAGGAAACAATAACATGAGTTTGAGCTTTAAATTGTTTCCTGGGCAACAAAGTCAGGGACTGTTATTCTGTTAAGTTGCCAGATAGGATTTTAGGTGGTCAGTGGCATCCGGGGGAAACCACTCATGTGTATAGAGCCATGCATGCAATTCAATTGCTCTTTCAACAACACACTCCCTTAAAAAATGTATTACCATAAGACTTAAGATTCTAAAATTGGGGAAGAAATGAGCGAGGACATAGAAATAAGAGGAGAAGGAGAAATGTTCTCTAGCGGAGAAAACCATGCAGCCACGCTGAAAAACATCCCACGGCAAAAGAAAAGTTCCAGCTAATAGCATCAGCTCAACCATAACAGACACGAGACAGACCATGAAAATTCACTCTGGATTCCTAATTGCATCTGTGCGCACTACTGGACAGGTATTTACTAGACAGGTATTTACTTTATGCTCAATAATATTACAGCATTAGGAATATAGTTCCAAGTATATGTCCCATGGCAATGTCAAACAAGTTGTTTTTCGGAGAAAGTTAGCAAATGTAATTGATTGAGACACCATCTGGTCATTTTATTGGGAATCTCAGATTTTTAATATGATTTATATTGCATAAACCGGATATGATTTTCAAGTCAAAAAAATATTTCTAAAGCATTGGTTTTGTCATTCTCCTCGGAATCCTCATACTCACAACTTCTAAAAATAAAATTAATAAAAAAACTAAAAAAAAGAGAAGAAAAAATGGCTATTCCATGCCCTGATCGACT